GAGAGAGTGCTGGAGAAGAGATGAAGAATGGCTCCCCTTCTTAGTCCACCTCCTCCATGCGGGAAGCATCTTCCTCTCCCTCTAGTGGGGGGATCTCTTCAGGGACAGCAGCGCTGGGCTCCTCTGTGGTCACCTCATCCTCATCAATACCTGGGGAAGGAGACATGCAGGTGGGTCACACTGAGGCCCACTTCCAGGACCACACTTAGCATGGCAGTGAGGGGAGTTCCAAAGAGGCCAGAGCAGCCCCAAGAGCAGCACGCTTGGAGGGCAGGAAGAGGCCTCTACTCAGCAAAAAGAGCAGAAAACCCAGGCCTTCTCATAGAGGGTGGGCAAAACATTTTCAGCAAATCAAGTTAAAGCAGAAACCCAGCTTTCCATCAAGGCTCTTTTCTGTGCCAAAGCATGGCTGCTTTCGCTGCACAACACATACTGTGAAGAAGCCATTGCCTAAAAACACCTTTCAGTTCAGAAATGCGGCCGGGAGGGGTCCTCTCCTGCCCCTATCCTCCTCCCGGGGCCAAACTCACCCAGGGATTACCTACCCCATGATGCTCCACAGGTGCTAATGGGGAGTGGAGCATAGTGGGAGACAGTTCTCAAACCTGTCTTCTAAGCTGGTCTCCTCCCACAGGCTGCTAGCACTCACCACTTGCCTCTCACATGCTGGCTAGTGCACAGGCCCCAGCATGGTGTATAGGTTGCACACCACTCTAAGCTTGCACAGGATAAGGCATCTTACACCCGCCTGTTGCTACATAAGAGCAAGATATGCTTCATGCCAGGAGACAGTACCTCCTGCAGCTCTCCTCCCTCACTGCACTTCTAAAGCAAGGCCTGACCAGGCTTGCAGCAGGGGCTACTCCTTCCTTGAACTGAGGAAAGAATAAGCCAGGATTGAGGGGTTAGTGCTCCTTTCCTTGGACTGGGGCAAGGTGCCTGCTATGTGCTCAAGCCAAAGAAGCAGCTTGACTTCTAACTTTCAGGGTATGCAACCATGCAGCAGAGTTGCTGGCACTGATCAACTGGAGAAAGCTCTTTCCCCAGAGTCTATGCTCAGAAGCCAACTTTGTGACTTCCAGTCACCTGGGACACTTACCCAACCCCAGCTTGATCATCCTGTAGATGCGATTGGAGTGGGTCTGGGGATCTTCCAGGGAGAAGCCGGAGGAGAGCAGGGCCGTCTCAAAGAGCAGCACCACCAGGTCCTTGACTGCCTTGTCGTTCTTATCAGCCTCAGCCTTCTGGCGCAGGGTCTCCACAATGGGGTGGTCAGGGTTGATCTCCAGGTGCTTCTTGGCCATCATGTAGCCCATGGTGGAGTTGTCCCGCAGCGCTTGGGCCTTCATGATACGTTCCATGTTGGCTGTCCAGCCATAGGTGCTGGTGACGATGCAGCATGGTGACGAGACCAGCCGATTTGAGATGGTCACCTGGGGAGGCACCAGAGGGTTAACAGACCAGGCAAAAGCAGAGCAGGGTCTAATGTGCTTTGATGGAGCCTGAGCAGTGGAGCCCTGGCTGCAGGAAGGGCACGGATGCCCTCTGCAGCACAGCATCTCTCCCATGCCTTGGCCATCGCACTTCCACTTCCACTTCTCCTAGCCAGCTTCAGGACCACAGCTGGGACAGCACTGGCAGCTCATCCAACCTCTTGGTGCCCCATGAACATTCCCACAGCACTACCCCCTAGAAAGGTCTGTGTGCCTCATCTGCAGCCCAGCTGTTTAGAGCAAGATGCGGCAATAAATGCTGGGACCTGTAGTCTGCAGCAGAGAATCAGCTGATGGAGACAAGGGTCCAACCCTTCTCTGCATTGAGTGGGGCCCCACTGAGCCCTGGGCTGGGCTGGAATCCTCACCCTACTCCCTTTTACCTTCTCAACCTTCTTATCCAGGATTTCCTTCATGAGCTTGCAGAGGCTCTCAAACTTGGCCTTGCTTTCCTCCATCTTCTTCTTCTCATCCTCATCCTCTGGCAGCTCCAGCCCCTCCTTAGTGACCGACACCAGGCTCTTGCCATCAAACTCCTTGAGCTGCTGCACGCAGTACTCATCGATGGGCTCTGTCATGTACACCACCTCGAACCCGCGCTTCCGCACACGCTCCACGAAGGCAGAGTTAGCCACCTGCTCCTTGCTCTCACCTGTGCTAGTGGAAACAAAAGGTCACCAAAGCTCGGAGCTGGCTGCGCTCTGGGGTCCCCTGGTAGGCACCAGCTAGACCTCAACATGCCCCTGCCCCTTTAGGGGCAATGTCTCAACCAGAATCGGATGAGAAGGATCTGCTAGACCCATGGTGCCAAACACAGACCTGGCCAGTCCCTTAGAGAATGGACAGCACAGAACTTGCGCACACACCTCCCAGCCAAGGATCCCAGAGTGCTGACTGACATGAAGAAGTAGGGAAACGGCCCTATTTTAGGCTGGAGTCCAGCATGATAACATGTTGTCATACAATGCATGTATGTTAGACTTTCTGGGGAGAAGGCTCACCTTTCCACACAATCCTCCCAGCTTCATGCTCCCTTAGGAAGTGACCCAGCTCGGCCCCTCAGTGAAGCCTGCCTGTCCCATGAGAAGAAGGGACATATGGGGGCAGCAAGCTGGCAGAAGTCCCCAGATTACACCAGCAACCTGATGAGTCAGGTAGGAACCAAGTGAAAGACTCCCATTCTGGAATCTAACTCTTTACATTGGATTAGCAGTACCAAACCCAGTAGGTTGGGGAATCATAGAATCAAGAGTACTAGGACTGGAAGGAACCTCGAGAGGTCATCGAGTCCAGTCCCCTGCCCTCATGGCAGGAACAAATACTGTCTAAACCATCCCTGAGACATTTATCTAACCTGCTCTTAAATATCTCCACAGTTGGAGATTCTACAACCTCCCTGGGCAATTTATTCCAGTGTTTGATTACCCTGACAGTTAAGAACTTTTTCCTAATGTCCAACCTAAACCTCCCTTGCTGCAGTTTAAGCCCATTGCTTCTTGTTCTAGCCCCAGAGGCCAAGAAGAACAAGTTTTCGCCCTCCTCCTTATGACACCCTTTTAGATATCTGAAAACTGCTCTCATGTCCCTCCTCAATCTTCTCTTTTCTAAACTAAAGAAATCTAATTCCTTCAGCCTTCCCTCATAGGTCATGTTCTCTAGACCTTTAATCATTCTTGTTGCTCTTCTCTGGATCCTCTCCAATTTCTCCACATCTTTCTTGAAATGTGGTACCCAGAACTGAACACAATATTCCAATTAAGGCCTAACACTTCTCTGGGCTGGGCTTCTGGTTTATACTGCTCTTACTGGCCGGGCTCTGAAGCAGAAGAGCCAAACCATCTGTCATCATAGCTGCCAAGAAGGGCAAGTGCTGCTGATGCAGCTAACTCTGCCCCCCCCTCCCCCGTGCTTGAAATGGAATGCTTCCCTGACTGCCTGTCCCCCCCACCCTTCCGTGTGGGTGGGGTATTTGCAGGGAGGGTTAGATTTCCAGCTCATGAGGACAGGAGAGTGTTAGTGAAATTCCTCCTGGATCCTGCCTATAAACCCCTTCTCCTACCCCCCAGCTCGGGATCCACGAGGACTCAACCAACCGGAAGCGCCTGTCGGAGCTGCTGCGCTACCACACATCGCAGTCTGGTGATGAGATGGCCTCACTCTCAGAGTATGTCTCCCGCATGAAGGAGACACAGAAGAGCATCTACTACATCACAGGTGAGGGCTGTCAGACAGGAAGGGCCAAACATCTCTCCCATCTCATCACCTGGGCATGATGACTGCTTGGTGGACCTAATCTCCCTCACTGTGCCCCTCCATACTCCCAGGGAAGGGATTGTCCCTCCAAATGGGAAACAAGAAGACTTTTTATAAATACATTAGAAGCAAGAGGAAGACCAAGGAGAGGGTAGGCCCACTGGTCAGGGAGGAGGGAGAAACAGTACCAGGAAACTTGGAAATGGCAGAGATGCTCAATGACTTTGTTTCGTTCTTCACCGAGAAGTCTGAAGGAATGCCTAACATAGTGAATGCTAGTGGGAAGGGGGTAGTTTTAGCAGGTAACATTAAAAAAACAAGTTAAAAATCACCTAGAAAAGTTAGATGCCTGCAAGTCACCAGGGCCTGATGAAATGCATCCTAGAATACTCAAGGAGCTGATAGAGGAGGTATCTGAGCCTCTAGCTATCAGCTCCTTGTGTATTCTAGGATGCATTTCATCAGGCCCTGGTGACTTGCAGGCATCTAACTTTTCTAGGTGATTTTTAACTTGTTTTTTTAATGTTACCTGCTAAAACTACCCCCTTCCCACTAGCATTCACTATGTTAGGCATTCCTTCAGACTTCTCGGTGAAGAACGAAACAAAGTCATTGAGCATCTCTGCCATTTCCAAGTTTCCTGGTACTGTTTCTCCCTCCTCCCTGACCAGTGGGCCTACCCTCTCCTTGGTCTTCCTCTTGCTTCTAATGTATTTATAAAAAGTCTTCTTGTTTCCCATTTGGAGGGACAATCCCTTCCCTGGGAGTATGGAGGGGCACAGTGAGGGAGATTAGGTCCACCAAGCAGTCATCATGCCCAGGTGATGAGATGGGAGAGATGTTTGGCCCTTCCTGTCTGACAGCCCTCACCTGTGATGTAGTAGATGCTCTTCTGTGTCTCCTTCATGCGGGAGACATACTCTGAGAGTGAGGCCATCTCATCACCAGACTGCGATGTGTGGTAGCGCAGCAGCTCCGACAGGCGCTTCCGGTTGGTTGAGTCCTCGTGGATCCCGAGCTGGGGGGTAGGAGAAGGGGTTTATAGGCAGGATCCAGGAGGAATTTCACTAACACTCTCCTGTCCTCATGAGCTGGAAATCTAACCCTCCCTGCAAATACCCCACCCACACGGAAGGGTGGGGGGGACAGGCAGTCAGGGAAGCATTCCATTTCAAGCACGGGGGAGGGGGGGGCAGAGTTAGCTGCATCAGCAGCACTTGCCCTTCTTGGCAGCTATGATGACAGATGGTTTGGCTCTTCTGCTTCAGAGCCCGGCCAGTAAGAGCAGTATAAACCAGAAGCCCAGCCCAGAGAAGTTATGGTCATAGAATAGGCCTGGCTCTTCAGGTTCCAAGATCCACAGGCAGACGAGGCAAAGTAGCGGCCTCTTTGCTCCCAGATGGGGGGGCTGGCTGGCAGGCTCCTACCTTGAGGTTCTTGGAAAAGGCTTCATAGAATTTCTTGTAGTTCTCCTTGTCCTCGGCCAGCTCTGTGAAGAGCTCCAGGCACTTCTTGACGATGTTCTTGCGGATCACCTTGAGGATTTTGCTTTGCTGCAGCATCTCTCGGGAGATGTTCAAAGGCAGGTCCTCAGAATCCACCACGCCCCGGATGAAATCTGAGGAAAGAAGGTAGAAGAAAAGACGACCCAGAGAGAGTGAGAACAGCCAGGAGATGCTCCTCCACACAGGAGCACACAAGTGCAAAGCAGAAAGCCCCGGTGTATCCCTCCTAGCAGTACCGCGAGGCAGCGTTATGTATTGCAGCAGTGCAACTTGAAGAAGCAGCTAACACGGCAAGGAAGAAACCAGAAACCAGTTAGAGTGGGAGTTCTGCCCAAGGGCGAGGGGTAACACAGGGGGCTCTTACTTAGGTACTCTGGGATGAGCTCATCACAGCTGTCCATAATGAAGACACGCCTCACGTACAGCTTGATATTGTTCTTCTTCTTCTTGTTCTCAAAGAGGTCGAAGGGGGCGCGGCGCGGGATGAAGAGCAGAGCTCGGAATTCCAGCTGCCCCTCCACAGAGAAGTGCTGCACGTTGAGACACGAGAATGAGACGACCAAACTACCATGACTTTGTTCCTCTAGCCCTCCCCTGGGAAAGAGCCCTTCCTTTTGGCCCAGCTGCAGGAGCACCCAGAGGGAATTGGGTGGGGGCAGAATGGCTACCTTGGAGCAAAGCGCACAACAATGCAATGGACAGGCAGGTGGGACAGCACACCTAGCACTTGGGATTCTTCATCCCCACGCCCCAGTGATTGCTGGGCAGGGTCTAAGGCCCCCACAGCAGCAGTTCCCATCCCCATTTGCTCATGCCAGAGAGCAGCAGCCATGGCCTCTGCACACCTAGATGAAGCAGGGAATTGGGAGTGAGGGTCATGCTGATGAAAGGGCCAGCAAACCTGCACCACACCTAGGGGAGAGGCTCCATGTTCAGGACCAACAGCAGTATGTCAAATGGGCTCAGCTCTGAGGCCAGGGGGAGGGAGATCTGGTGGCGAGGCTAGGAGTGTGTCAGTGGGGCTGGCAACTTGGCAGGAGCCCCATGGCAGTGGGGTGAGGGGTAGGGGCCAGAGCCCAGCAAGGCTGGGAGTGTGGCAGGTGGGCCAGCGACTCAGGAGTGCAGCAGGACAGGGAAAAGAACCCAGCAGGGTGGGCCAAAAGCAGCCAGCAGTAGGGAGGGGTTTCAGAGGCCAATGACAGGGGACCTCTCCTGGCCTGACAAATCCCCTTGTTTAGGACCGGTCCCAAAGGTGCCAGGCCAGGGAGGTCCAACCTGTAACTACAATTCAGTCACATCTCAGAGTCTAATGAAACATTTTGGGGGGTCCCTCTTTCTATACTAGAGTATACCCATGATGAAGAAAGGGGGAGCCTATACGCTAATCTGTTCTGCTTTGTGAGATGGAGGAGCCCCTTGGCCACTAGCGGTGTGGCCAGCCCCTGCATTCACCTTTACAGCCAGGTGGTCCTCCCAATCATTGGTGAGGCTCTTGTAGAACTCTCCGTACTCCTCCTGGGTGATGTCGTCAGGGTTGCGGGTCCAGATGGGCTTTGTCTTGTTCAGCTCCTCCTGGTCAATGTATTTCTCCTTGATCTTCTTGGTCTTCTTCTTCTTGCCCTTACCACCCTCCTCTTCCTCCTCATCTGAGCCCACGTCCTCTATCTTGGGCTTCTCATCCTTGGGGGCTGTGTCCTCATCCTCTTTCTCCTCCTTCTCTTCCTCATCGTCACTGATTTCCTTTTCCCGCTCTTTCTCCAGCTGTAGGAAGAGGTAGAAAGACGGCCGTGGCAAAGACAACTAGCTTACTCAGGGCCTCCTATTTGCAGAAGATCAGGGCAGTGACAAACACCATAGCCCCAAGGGAGGTAGGTGTCCTACTAAGCTAAACATTGCCGTGATGCACGGCACATAAAGCACTGGTTCACATTTTGCAAATGGTGCCTTTCAGTGGCTGGGACAACCAAGAGGATAAGGAACCATGGCCACCCCCAGCTGGTTGAGACCTCCCATAGCTCATGCACTAGAGGCCCAAACAAGAGGAGACAGAGGGCTGGAATTCCAGCCCCACCCCCTCACCAGGTAGGGGAGGTGCTGGCCCAAAGCACCGGCATGGATTTTAGGGATGTGAGTTTGATAGAACAGTATACCCCTTCTGTGATACCCTCCCCCTAGAGGCAGTGAGCTAGTTTCCACTCGTACCATTCTTCTGGCCAACTCCTTAGCAGCAGGATGAGTGCCCAGCTCTTGCCTTCACCCATCACAGTCTCTTACATACACACACGGGGGGATAGGAAGGCTCAAGGCAGAATGTACCAATCTCTCCCCAGTCTCAGCCTGGGCCTCTCCCATGTTCTATCTGTCCTTCTCATGGGTCCTGCCATCTCACATACGTACGTAAAGGGTGATGGGGTAGCCAATGAACTGTGAGTGCTTCTTCACCACCTCCTTGACCCGCCGTTCCTCCAGGTACTCTGTCTGATCCTCCTTCAAGTACAGGATCACCTTGGTGCCGCGCCCGATGGGCTCACCTGTGGCACCAGGAGAGAGGCTGTGGCATTACCGCTGGACAGAGCTCACTGGAGATCTCATGTCAATGGCAGGTGCAGCCCACCGCTAAACTAAAGGGAGGATCATCACAGTGTTTCTAATGGGAGCCAAGGTCATGAGAAAGTAGGGCAGATGCACTGCTAGTACTGAGCCTGCACCAAGCTTAAACCATGGCTTTGGTTAGCATTGAGAGTAGCCTTCTCCTCTTGCACCTACAGGATAGCCCTGAGACCTAACCCAAGATGACAGGTTACTTTCACCTTCACACACAACCCTGCGACCTTCTCCCTCTGTGATTGTTTCACCACCAGTAGCAGTTAAGGCTACAGTTCCTCCAGGTACTCTGTCTGATCCTCCTTCAAGTACAGGATCACCTTGGTGCCGCGCCCGATGGGCTCACCTGTGGCACCAGGAGAGAGGCTGTGGCATTACCGCTGGACAGAGCTCACTGGAGATCTCATGTCAATGGCAGGTGCAGCCCACCGCTAAACTAAAGGGAGGATCATCACAGTGTTTCTAATGGGAGCCAAGGTCATGAGAAAGTAGGGCAGATGCACTGCTAGTACTGAGCCTGCACCAAGCTTAAACCATGGCTTTGGTTAGCATTGAGAGTAGCCTTCTCCTCTTGCACCTACAGGATAGCCCTGAGACCTAACCCAAGATGACAGGTTACTTTCACCTTCACACACAACCCTGCGACCTTCTCCCTCTGTGATTGTTTCACCACCAGTAGCAGTTAAGGCTACAACACCTCACCCCCCCCCCATATCATCGACCCTCTCAAAGCCATGGGACCCCATGGAAGATAGAGAGGAGAGGGGCAGCTGGTTCCTTGCAAGCCCCATCTCCACAGTACATACCATGATCAGTTTTAACAGTGAAGGAGCCCCCAGCTGATGACTCCCAGGCATACTGCTCATCATCATTGTGCTTGGAGATGACCACCACCTTTTCAGCCACCAGATAGGCGGAGTAGAAGCCCACACCAAACTGCCCAATCATGGAGATGTCAGCACCAGCCTGCAGAGGGAAGGAGACAGAATGAGAAGATCAGGACACCAGAAATCGGCGATGTCTGTCAGGTGTGTTCCAGTAGCAGGGAACTGGGCCAATGCACAGTAGAGACAGGGATAGGGCAGGGCCCCGCCACCTTCTCTATGTGCAGGAGGGAGCAGGGAAACACGTGGGCAAGCCAAGAGCACTCTATGCTGCTCCCTGGGAGGATGCGGACCCAGAAGGCGACTGTCCCTCCGGCAAACACTGAGTGTTGAAGCTGTAAGGCCCTATGAAGGACACGAGCCCAGGAGGTGCCCAGGCCCACACGCTCTTGTGCCCGGACTCAAGACTACTCACCTGAAGGGCTTCCATGAAGGCTTTAGTACCAGACTTGGCAATGGTGCCCAGGTTGTTGATGAGGTCAGCCTTTGTCATACCGATGCCTGTGTCTACCAGAGTCAGGGTGCGGTCCCGGGGGTTTGGGATGATGTCAATTTTTAGCTCTTTGCCACTGTCTAGCTTTGAGGGATCTGTCAGGCTCTCATAACGGATCTTGTCCAGGGCCTGGAGGAGAACAGTGATGGTTTGCAAGGCCCAGTTACTATTCACCTACCTGCTCCTTGGATCTCGTCCTCTGCCTGCTCTGGAGAGGAAGGGGAGCATGACACACACCCCCAACAAAGGGCCTGGGCTCACTCAAACCCCTCCAAGGGGTAAAACACAAGGCCCTGCATGAGAGCAGCACTGTGGATACCCCATCGGAGCAACACACAGGCCAGGGATGGGCTCATTCCCCACCCCACCCCCAGGAAGAGAGAACCCCTGCAGACCAACGGGTGACGCTGGATGCCGCCTCCAGGCCAGCTCCCCCAAGGGCAGCGGGGCCAACCCGCGCTGGGCTGTGGCTCCCC